GTCAAGTCTTCAGTCTCGGGTCCAGCAAGTTGAAGTTTGCATTAAATTTAAGTTTTCTGTTGTTGGTGCAACCAAATTAATGTCTGTTTACCTGATATTCATGTGGGGCAATTTTCAAAAAGTCACTCTGACGTTCATTTCATGAAAGGAGTTCTTGAAGAATGTACCCTGCGGTTCCTACATTCTCATTGGTCATGGGTGAGTAGCATACGTAATTAAGAGGCAGAAAATAAACAGAGGACAAAAATATCCCTCCATGGTCGTGGAGTCACCACGGCCACCCCCACAGGCCCTAGCCTGTGAGCCTCGCCTTGTCCGCACATGTGCTTCACTTTTGGTTGGGGCACAGGCCTGAGCAGTTAGGGGAAACTGTCCTCCACCCCCCCACACACACTAACCAAGGCCCCTCTGGGACGCTGGCTTTTCCAGCTCAGCAACTCCCCCTTTGCCCTGGGCAGCCACTACCCATCTGACAGACTTTCCCACCAGAGAGGTTTGCATGTCACACCGGATCCAGCTGAGCTCCCACAGTTATAAATAGAACCTTGTTGGGTCTCGGAAATAGAGCAGTTTGGGGTGGGGTGGGAACCTGAGGCCAGAAAGTGGCAAAAGCCTCAGACACAAGTTAAACTGAGGTCAGGACCTGGTGGTTTTTTCTCGGACAGGAACAGAGATGGGTCGGGGGCTCCCGGTGAGCTCTCTGCTCCAACGCTGCCTCCTGTTTTCTCCTGCTTCCTGGAAAGTTACGGCTGATTTAAGCCATGGTTCCTTGTGGCATTTTTCTTCAGGGTGCCCGTGGGTCATGGAGTTGCTTTGCCTCTGCTATTTTACATGACTATTCAGTATAAATTGCATACACATGCATAACACATACAGAACAATAATGAAAAACGATGAACTTGCAAAAATGACAAGAAAGTGTTCATTATAAAACAATATAAAATGAAGAAAAAATACTCTAAAAAATGAATAACCCCCTTGTCCAAATTATGTAATATTACCCATATAAGTTGATGTTTACAGATACGCAGACAAAACTATAATTTCTGCACAAAGCCTGGTAGAAAGCATAACAAAATCTTTAAAGGAATATATAATAATAATAATAAAATTATATAATATAACTATTAGCTGATTTTTGAAAGATTTGTTATTTTAAATTTTGTGTACGAGAGTGAGTTTGTGTGTGGGTATATGCATGTGAATGTCAGTGTCCACTGAGGCCAGAGGCATATGACCTTTCTGGAACTGAGATTAAAGGTCAGCTTTCAGATAGGGGTACTGGGACTTGAACTCAGGTCCTCTGGAAGAGCATTGAGCACTCTCAACCACTGAGCCATCTCTCCACCTTCCTACCAGTTATATTAGATTTTAATGTTTTTTTTTTTGTAATTTTCTTCACTTCCAAATTTTTCCATAGTGGTGATATGTATGTAAATTTTATTTACTATTACATTAATTAATTACTTAATTTTTGTGTGTGCAAATGGGAAGGGTGCCGGAGTATCACTGTGCGTGTGTGTGTGTGTGTGTGTGTGTGTGTGTAAGCATGCATGTGTGTGTGTGTGTGTGTGGAGACAGTTTGGTCCTGGGGACTGAACACAGGCCCTCAATCAGGCTTGCCGGCAAGAGCCTTTGCCCTCTCGGCCATCTCCCCAGTCCTGTATGGGAGCTGTTTAAGAACTTACTTGAAAGTCACCAGAACGCACTTGTTTCCTGCATCAGTCAGTGTGTAGAACTGATCTGTGCTGCTGGTGGGAGCGGAGGAGAAGCACTAGCTGACCAGGAAGGAAGGGAGCCAACGAGCCTCCTCCGCGGGGAGTGTGTGCCTTGCTTTCTACAAAACCGTAGAATACAGATTCCCTGAGACCTTTTCTCAGAACGACTTCCAGAGCTCCCATGAGTGCTAACCCAGTTTGTTGTCTCCAAAGTGTTTCTCCCTTTAAGAATACACAAAGAAAACAAAGAAAACAAAACAAAGTTTTCTTTCCGGAAGATGCTTTCTACTTAGCCTTGATACAACTGTTACCAGATATCAGTCCTATACTTGACCCAGTTTGCTATAGATATCTTCCATTGATTGATGGATTGATTGTCTTGGTATGTATCCTTGGCTGGCCTAGAACTTACTACGTAGGCCAGGCTCGTCTTGAACTCACAGCTAGCTAGCTGCTGCTGCTTCCTGAGCGCTAACTCTAAAGGCATGCCCCACCACATTCATCTTAATTTTTATTCATTTCTAATAGAAGAGCTGGAAAATTGAGATTCCCTTAGAGTGCATAGCACCTTGTCTTTTCTGCTTGCCCTAGAAGAATCTGGTTAAATTCCTGTTCCCACAGCCAGGTAATCAGTTTTGTTACTTGCGGTGAAAGGACTTGTGGGTAACTGACAGTTAGATGGAGGCAACTCTGAGCTTCTTTCTGTAGATGCCTGGATGTTTTGCTGTGACTTTGTCCAGTTCCTCAAGCACCCTGGGAAGTGCCTGTCTGTCCTCCTCTGTAGATGGGGACATATGCTGCAGTATCAGGTGAGCTAACTGAGGTTTAAGGAGCCCTTGAGGTGAGCAGCTGGCTCCCCTGAGGAAATCCAGCACTGTTGTGTGTTGATAGCTTCCTAACCCTAACCAGTCAGCCTGACTTGGCTAACAGGATCAGAGGACATAAAAGGCATTCCTGGGAACTTCTGCCTAGAAGTTCTATTATGAAGCTGGTAGAATCTGCAGGACAAGCACCTCCATATGCAGATGGAGAGAATTGGTGGCACTGGGACCTTGTGCAGCCACCTTCTCCTGGAGTCACATATTTGTGACTCTTATCCAAAATGAAGAATGTGCTCCCCATCTTGAGTGCTGGCTTATGGGCATGTGCCATGGCACCTGCATATCTGCACATGTATGTGTGTACTAATCTCCAGGATGTCTGCCTACGTATGTGTGTGTTCATCTCCAGGATTGTCTGCATATGTATGCGTGTACTAATCTCCAGGATGTCTGCCTATGTATGTGTGTGTTCATCTCCAGGATTGTCTGCATATGTATGCGTGTACTAATCTCCAGGATGTCTGCACATGTATGCATGTCTTAATCTCCTTAATCACCAGGGTGTTTACTTACATATATGTGTATTAATCTCCAGGGTATCTGCACAGGTATATGTGTATTAATTTCCAGAATGTCTGCATACATTTGGGTGTATTAATCTCCAGGATGTCAGCAAACATATATGTGCATTAGTCTCCAGGATGTCTGCACAAGTATGCGTGTCTTAATCTCCATAGTGCTAATAGGCTGTCATTATTTTCCCATCTCCAAAGTACCCAGAAAATGTCTTGCAAGTGGTATGTCCTCAGAAAACACTGTGCAGATGTGGACATATTTATAATCTACCAAAGGCCCAGAGAGCTTATGCCCTTCTTTCTGCTTTACTATCGGAATTTTGAGAGAAGAGAGGGAACGAAGTTTACCCTGATATGAGACAGGACGTTAACATCAGCTTACATCCTCATCTACACATGGAAAGTAACCTTCCTCTCAGGGCTGTTCTGAAAATTCCAGAAGCACATTCTCCCCACTCCCTTCCCCTGCCCTGCGCCTGACATCTGGGTTCTACCCTGGGCCTAGCAATCACCCAGTGTTCTAGATAGCAAGAGCTTTACTGTGTGAAGTCCGCACTACAATCCAGCATCTGCTCTGAAGCCTGCATTGGATTCCACCCTTTCTCCTGCTCATCCCTGTGCACGCTCTCATCACACCTTCCCAGTGCTCACAGACTGGAACAGGCAATGCTTTCTTGTCTCCGTGGTTTTGGGGTACTTGGCAATTCTCTAAGCGTCTCAGTTGAGGTTTCCAGTCAGCTCTTTCTTTCAAGCTGCCCACGTGGCTCTTAATGTTTCTGGGGCCGGCTAGAAAACACAGACTTCCCAGTTCATCCAGGAAGGAAAGTATGCACAAAATGACTTTTGTTAGGAAAAAAATTTCTTTTCCAGTTAAGGGAAAAGAATAAGGAGCAGGTGATTGTCCGCAGTAATCCCGCTCTCCTCCTGCGGAGCTCCTAGGGCCTCCACTATGTCTGTCTCGTTTGTCTGCCCTAAGGGATCGCGTGGCAAGTGTGTAAGACACATTATTTTATTGTTTCTTGAGAGATAACATTATACGTTTTAAAAAATATGGTGTCTCCAAACCACTCCAAGGCCAAAAGACGAAGTTAAAATAACACCTGAGTGTATGAAGTATCCATGCCCTTCTTGAGATTTGTTTAACCCAAGACAAATATTGAAAATAACTTATGGTAGTAGGTAATATTGCTTAACTTTTCTCATTTTTGATCACTTGTGAACAAGTACACACAGACACACAGACACACACACACACACACACACACACACACACACAATCTAAGGGATGATTCTGTAGACTAGAGACTAGCTGTTGGAAGACACAGTCTAAGAGGGTGTCCAGACAAGCTATGTGGGGAAACAGAATGACCCTCTGGCAGATCAGGGAGGAAGCTGGATCTCTGAGTCTCCATGACAGAGGCCTCTAGCAGCCCGAGTGACTGGTGGAAACCAGCGGGTATGGCACACTTTGGAGGTTGGCTAGCCTGGCTGATGGTTTCAGAGTTGATCAGCGCCTGCACAGAGCTCACAATGGTATTTCTAGAGTCAGATGGAATGGACCCTGGCTGCGAAGCCATATGAGAAGCTGCTACAGGACTTGGGAGAATCTTGGAACTGTGTCTTGTAGTTTTTGACTTTCTGTCCAAAGTCTTTACTGAAATTTGTTTATAGTCTTTCCTGAGAATTCTTTTCCTTAACTTGATTTTTCTGAATTGGTTATATTTCTGACTGACCACTAGATGGCAATATTGTTCTTTTATGTGATGGCGTTTAGTACAATTAGGATGAATTTCTTTTTTTCAAAGTCTTTTTTTTTTTTTGACAAAAATGAGCAATTTAAAGACATTCCTCTGAAACGGAAACTGGGTAGAGTGTATTTGCTTATTACTCTGCAAGTTCTTACTTGTAAGATACCATAAACAGCTCTGCATTTCCTGTCTTTTCTGGTGCTTACAGAGACGTTGCTGCCCAGCCCCTCGGAGCTTGTGTCTATAGAAACCCGTCAGGTACTGGGCGGGAGCTTGTGTCTATAGAAACCCGTCAGGTACTGGGCGGGAGCGGGGTGGGGGAGGGGGGCTTTTCTCTCAGCTCACTTTACTATCTCTTCTACAACATCTGGAGCACTGATTTTCAAGGCTGAATTAGTCCTGTTAAAGAAACAAAGATTTTAGGGACTTATCGGCAGTTGAGTCTCTGTAGCTGTGAGCTGGGAACGTGAATTTCGAGGGCATCTCTATGCTTCCGAACATTAGCAAACTTGGAGGTGGCTCATGTGCTTCTAATTGGGCCAGTAACAGGATCACCAAAATCATAGGAACTTAAATTCAATTAAAAATTGCCATGCCCTTTGGGGGGGGGGGAGCAAGGAAGTACATCATGCCGAGAAGTAGCCACATAGCTCAATTCACTGTAAAAGTAGCAGAGCTTCAGAAATTGAGGCATTCTTGCTTTCATATGTCCACAGAAAATCAGCCCCTTAATACACTGCCCACCTTACATCTCCTGGGCACAGCCTGTGACAATGGTGGCTGGTGGATTCTGCAGAGAAACAGCAGACATTTCTACATTTGCACTATTTAATGTTAGGATGTGCCACTTAAAAAGTCATGGCTATTTTTGGAATTTTTGAAGACCCATTGACTGCAGAAACTAGTACTTTTCCTTGCCATCTCCTCTTCCTTTCCCCCTCCCCTCATTCCCTCCCCCTCCTCCTGGCAAATTTTTTCCTGTTATCTGCTCTGTGTCATTGTTCACACATTGGTTTAAAATATTAAGACCAATCAATCTGTTTGATACGATTTGCTTTGAAATTAGACTTCACATGTTTCTTTATCTAATAATGCCTTACCTTTCTTAGGTAGGATATATCACAAAGCTCTTGTGAAATGGGTGTTTCCAAATGATAGCATCCTTTCCTGGAACTGATCAATGGTTCTATGTACAGGACCTTACAAAAGCAAATTGAAGAAGGGTGTTTCTTTGAATGGGTCGCAATGAAGCTACATTAACACTACGGAAACATTTCTTCCCTTAGGGGAAAGAACACCAGAATGCATGATTGTGGCTCTAGTTCATAAAAACCTTTAAGACAGTGGCCAAAACAGCACAGAAAACGCTGCCTCTGCTCGTTTTGTGCATCGGCTTTGGAGTCAGACCCACAGTGAGAAGCGATCGGTTGGGTGGCTGTTTACTTTTCGTTTTGTAATTGGAGCTCATGTTTCCCACTCCTCTGTATTCCAGTCCTTGCTCCGGGGCAAGAGTCAGCACCAATCTTTTAAGGAGTTTTAGTCTGGAGAGCCAGCTCCAGCTTACAGGGGGGCGTGCCCTCCCAGCCTGGCCAGCAGAGGGACCTGTGGCTCCGCTCAGGGGTCTGGGGTCAGGCATGCGGAACTGATGTGGCCAAATGAGTGTTTATTTTCTCATCATTTTATTCTTTATTTCTCTCCTTTTAAAAATGCAATAGAATTATCTGCAGGCACACATTCAGATTTAGATCAAAACCAACCAACGAGGCCGCATTCTCTAGTGAGAGTAAGCCCCTCCCCTTCCCCCCTGAAAAGGTGCCAGTGATTTTGATTAGCAGGGATCACTGACATGGCCAATCAGCCCTGTTTTAATTTTTAAAAGACACCTGAGATGTGTTTTGCAGCACCTTGAGCCCATGCAAACTGAAAAATTAAAATAAGATAAATTTTAAAACGATTTTTTAAATGCGGGGGGAGGCATTGTGGAGGTGTGCGGGGAGGGCCTCCGAATTTAGAAGACGTTGAGTTTTAAATACCAGCAAACCCTGTCCTGGTTTTCAAATGTTTACCTTTCTGCAAAGCTGGCCCACAGAGTACCAACTCGCTTCAAAAGAAAATCCTGGCACCTGGAAGATTGGCCTGACAGTGAGCATTAAAATGACTTGTTTAATGAGCAGTGTGACTGAACCACGCAGGGAACGCTGGGGAGTTTCTCTCGCAAGGACTCGGCTTGGTGTTTACAGTTTGTTATGTCGTGCGCTTCCACTGTCCCTTATTTTGACAAGCTATCCAAAAGTTTGGAATGAGGATGGGCATTTTTTTTTTTTCAAAACCTGGCTGCTAAAAAAGAAAAGGTGCGTGCGCTTACCCGTTTCTCAAGGAGCGGGAGCTGCGCCATTAAGGGAGAGAACTTGGCAGGAGAAAAAGCAGGGAAGACTCTTGTATTACTGATGAGCAGGGGCCATGATAGATGCCCTTATGCTTTTAAAGTGCCAGGCAGCCCTCCGTGATGTGAGGACACTAACTACGGAGTAGGTAAATTTCCGGTCTTGGGGATGGCAGCTCTGCTCCTAGGTCATTTGACTGCTTGTCTTTATTTTTCTCCCCTCTCCCGTGGGTTTGTGTTCCAGACCTCTGCCTCCTCCCCGCTCCAGCATTCATTGGCCTTTGTTCTGGGCGTTTGTCTGATTCTGTCCCATCGAATGGAAGATTGTTTGCTCTAGAAGTTCTAACTTAAATTTCCCGTCTGGAGGGAAATTTAAGTTTCATGTGTATGAAATATGAGATGATTACTGTTCTTGGCACAAAATGGAAGAAAGAACTTTATTTTTTGTCAGGACCAAGATATTAACTTTTTCCTTATATGTTTGCCGTTTCTTTTTAAAGTATGGACCTGTTTCTGAGTTCAAATTTCTGCGCCCAGTGATTTTTTTAAGTAAGTTATCATTTCCCTTAATTATGGAATGATTATCTGAAAATAAGATGATATGAAATCATTGGCATTCATTAAAAGAAACTCCACATATAGTTTTAAAAGCCATACATGAAAAATGGTACAAATCCAGACTGTAGAATTTTATCTTTGGAGGCATGTTAGAAACAGTGAAATTGCCTCTCCTACAAGGAGAAGGTTTTAGCATCTCCTATGTGATAGAATCAGGTTTACAGACACAGAATTTTCTGGAAGCAAACATGTGGCTTATAAGTAATCTGATTCTACTCTTTATTCTTTTATTCTATAGTTTCTAGAATTTTCCATACAATATTTTCTTCTTTATGTCTTCAGAGATAAAAAGGAAATCTCTGTGGTCCACACACTTTATTTTGTTTGCCTGTGTCAGTAATTTGCAAGACTGAGTTGAAGGCTGGGCCACACTGTAAATGTCTGAACAGGAAAAACGGCCTCTTTCTTCCACAAAAGCACACACAAAGAAAGGGCATACAGACGAGCAGGACTCATTCTGTCAAGAGGCTACCGTACAGCCCTCAGTGGGAAAATGCTTTCTCTGGACAGGTTTCTGCCTTGCTAGGCTCTGGATTTCTATTTGCATTGTAGCAAATGAGGTGGAATACGTTGAACATGGTGAGATTTTTAGAGGTTTCCGGGGTCCTGACACACACAATGGATGTGGGCATAATTGGTGGAAGGTCCGTTGTTAGGGAGAAACTCAAGAGGGTTCAGAAGTACTGGGTGTGCGAATGGAGGGCTAACACAAAATAAAGTGTGTGAGACACACACCTATTGTGCGTGTGTGTCTGTGTGTGTGTGTGTGTATGTGTGTGTGGAGAGAGGAAGTGTGTATGTGAGTGTTTGTGTGTTTGTGAGTGTATATGTGGTTTGTGTGTGTCCATTCCAGGGCTATCTGCATCTTTGGCACGCAGAAGAAAAAGGAGGAGGCAGAGAGAACCGCTGTGCTTGACTGTTTCTTTGTCAGCATGTGAGAGATGTACCCTCAAAAGAAGGTTCTGCCTGGGGTAAGTGGGCAAAGACCCTGGATCCTGTAGAGCAGAAAGGACCCCAGAGGCACTGAACCCACAAGCTTGTGGGGAGCAAGGCTGCATGCAGTTCGTGGCTTTCCACTGTGCCACCATGGGACCTGTACACCTGCCCTGTCCTTTTGGGTTGGGTGGGCCAGCTTCTCTCTTCTCCTCTCCTCCCCTCTCACGGGGAAGTAATTGTGAAGTGACAGTGTGGATACTTGCTGGGTTTGATTTGGGTGACCAGCCCTGAAGTAGAGCTGGAGGATGTATCTGCACAGATGTCTTTGCTTCCAAGCTTCAGAGGTTCACGATAAAACAGCCAAAGCAAACTGCGAAGTACTGGTGCTGGTGGAACCGGAAGCTCCAGCGTGAAGCCCCACAGAAGCACTGCTGCAGTCGGGGGAGTCTGACCCAGAGTGCAGAGGCAGGGAAGCCTCCTGACCCAGGAGCACAAGGAAGGATGGAGTCTACTTGCTGAAGGAGGTCTGGGGTGGAAGGGAGGTTGAGGCAGCCAGAGGCTGAAAGCTATGGAGTGCCTAGCTGTGAAAGTGTATGCTGTGGTGAGGAACAGCGGGAAGTCCTAACTACAGTGAGCAAGGCTATGCTTGCCTTTCATCTGCTGACTGTATGCAAGTAGCACTTGGTCATTGGAGAACCAGCCAGGGAGGGCAAGATTAGAGAGAGAGGGAAGTGGGTAAAAGGCCGCCTGGGACCATGCTGGGATGATCTAGGATGGTGGGCTGTGTAAAGTCAAATGTGCACAGAGCAGTTTGCATTCGTGAATTTTAGAAAATCTCCTTCCTTATTCATCGGCTCACCGGTTACCCCCTGTGTCCTAGAATCGGTCATTTATTTTACCATTTTGTGCTGTGGTCTTTAAGCTTTGATGCCTTCAAGTCTTCTGTGAGGCAAAGCCAGGGAAGGAGGAGAGAAAAGATGGAAGAAGGAACAGCACAAGGGTATTTAGAAATTGTACTTCTTTCTTAAGACATATTTGTTCCTAAATAGATGTGCAGTGTCTGTCTGGGATTTGGCACAAACACTTTCTTGTCCCATTAAGTGCATTATAACTCTATCGAGGACACAACCTTGATAATGCTGCCATTTCAGGACCAACTCCAGCCTTTCTTTTGTTTAGTACCTGACAGTATGTGCACACCCGCGTGTTTAAACGGGGGCAGTCAGAACAAGTTTGTGAGCTCTCTGCTTCTTCACGCGGCAGGGGCTGAAGAAGATTTGTGCAGCCAGTTGACACTAGACTGCACGATGGGTTCCCTGGAGCCCTTTGAACTCAAACCAAGGAAGTCCTCAGCCTGATTGCAATTAACCAAGTCTGACTTGACTTTCTGCTTCATCTTTGGAAAAGCAAAGATGATACCAGTGGGCAGGCGGGGCCCCTGACGGGTGTTAATGGGGGGTTTTCAAGTTTGTCTTGCTTTCCTTAAACTATTAAGAAAGAACAAAAAACACTACTTAGAATAGAATCAATTTCCAGGAAGGGAAGAAAGAGAACTGAGAATTTATTATTAAAGAAAGAAATAGAGCCAAGGCGGAGGGGGAAAAAAGGCCCTTCTCACATCTCCTGGCCAGGTGCTCTGTGCATATAAATGTTTCAGGTTGAGCTTTAAGATCAAGGGAAAGTCTGTAGGGAGCCTTGTTTCCTAGAGGTCTGCTGGCTAGAGCTGCTCCAGGATACAGGCTGCCCATTTTTATTTCGTTATTAAGGATTAAAGGAGGCGAAGCTTCTGGAATGGTAGCTCCTTGGTTTCCATTAACTTTGTACAAGACACTGAAAAACAACCTTCCAAGGGACGGTTTGCATATGGATTTCCGGCTACAGCCTTCCCTCCTTCCTGTCATCTTGTGAGTCTGTTTAACACAAAATTGCCCTCCTCTCATGAGCTCAACCAGGACGAAAGCTGCCTCGTTGCAAAGACTGAGAATCGCTGTGCCTTTCAGAAGCCCTCCTGGTTTTCACAAGAGAGTAGAGGGAAGATGAAAAGAATTTCACATTAGATCCTGGTCACTCCAGAAACTATGCGCAGCAATTGCCTCCAAGAGCTCCTTGCTGTTGCTGAGTTCTCTGGGCCGCCGCCGACTGAATACACGGCCGCTCTCAGAACAACATTGCTTATCCAGTTTTTATTTCTTCTCTTTTGATTGTTTTGTTTCATAGCCTTTTGTCAAAACTGAAGTGGGTCTGAATTATCTTTCTAGAGGTTGACAAAGTGATGTCCACCTGCGGAGAGGGTTGGGACAGGGTCCTCACCTCTCATTTCAGTAGCAGCCATTACAGAGAAAGTGCTGGCAAAGAACCTCACCCCAGCAAAACGATGGCACTGTGATCCCAGCACTTGGGGGCTAAGGAAGGAAGATCAGAAGGTCAGGCCTGTCTGGACTATGGCGTGAGTTCTAAGTCAGACAGGGGAACTTAGTGAGACCCTGTCTAAAAATTCAAAGTCAATAAACTCAGTGGTGGAGCTTCCCAGCAAAGGCAGACAGGCTCTGGATTCAGTGCCTAGTACCAGGGCAAAACCAAAGAAGCAAAGTCATAATGAGATGACTTACTATTTAAGCCCAGCAGACCATTGTGGGAGACTGAGAGTTTGCACAGATGTGTACCGCCAGTCATCAACACTGCTAAGTCTCAGCCACAGCGACTTCAAGGTAGAGGATAAAAGCCTGGGTCTAAGGAGGCACATGGCTTGTCTGTGTCGCATGGGCAGCTGCTAACTGGGAAACCTGTGTACTTTAACTTCAGCACCAAGATGTGGCGCGGCATCACTGTGACTTTAATAATTCACATTTTTCTTTCATTATTCCCAGGTTTCTCAGCACTGAGGCAGATCAGGATATGAATGCTGGAAGGTAGCAAGCACAGCCAGCTCAGAACAGTGGCTCTTACTATTGCATGCTTTCACTGAGATCATCACGATCATCACGTTAACTTCTTTCATTCTATCACATTTTCACATCCATGATTATTCAGCACCATGGCTATTTAGTCATTGTTATTCATGGCTAAAGTAATAAAGCACAGGTACAGACATACGCTTACATACTGTTATGCTGATCTGCTGAAATGCACGCTCCTTCCCTGTGAGACAGAGTGACAGCACAGAAATAAATAGTGCAAGATTTAATCCTGCATAGAAATAAATACTGCAAGATTTAATCCTGCACAGAAATAAATACTGCAAGATTTAATCCTGTGAAGCGTACTTTAACCCCCTCTGCTTTGAAGACTTTTAAAAGTTATTTTTAAAACTATGTGTATGCGTATATGTATATGTGTTTGTGTGCGTGCGTGTGTGTGTGTGTGTGTGTGTGTGTGCATGTGAGTGCTGGTGTCATTGGAGTCCAGATGTTCTCCTGGAGCCAGAGTTACCTGTGGTTGTGAGTTGTCTGGTGTGGGTTCTGGGAACCAAAGTTAGGTCCTTTTTTACATGTGTATGTAAACATGTATCATACACTGCTTACCCACATGGGCACCATTTTTCTCTGTTCTGAAATCGTCCCCATGCGCTGCCTTTTTCTGGCCTGACTTGGGGTGGGAGCATGAGAGAGAGCGGCAGTGTCTTCAGATGAATGAATTCCATTTTGTTCAATAGTCACATTTTCTGGGCACAGAAATTAGAGATTATTGAATGGAGTTTGGTCATGGCATGTGTGAGATCTTTCTCCTGCAATTGCCCTGCCAACAGTGTCCATGTTTGCGGATCTTTAAGGAGATGAGCCAGGCAACCTTATTCACTTCTACACCGTTCTCCTTCAGTTTCTGTATACTTGGGAAGCGTTGCTGATCCACAGCAGTGCAGCAGCCAACTGAGGGAAGAAATCATTGGCCCTGAAGAGCTGGGATCTCACAAATGCAACAACGTGTGGGAAGGTGCCAGTGGGCATGGACCCTCAGTAGGCGGGTCTAGGAAGCGTGCTGTGAAGAAGGCCTCCAGTGTCGCCACTACCTGTGCCACTGTCTAGGGCAAGAGCTGTTTTCTGTGGAAATTCCTGGTCCAGCGGTAGCACCAACAATTTATAAATCTCTGATATTTTGACCATATTTCTTCCTAATTATTATTATTTATTATTATTGATCTAAGATTTGGTTGAGTTATTTGGGTAATAAGTGTGAAAAAAGTAATACGAAGAGAATTGACTCGACAAACAAACCAAGATCATGGCAGTGACGGCTCAGATGATCCTCCAATCACTAGTAGACATCATTTCAAAAAGATTTTAGCTGTTTCTGGAAACGGTGTGTGTGAGGGTGTCGGTGTCTGGTGTGGCACATCAGTGGAGGTGCCCAAGAGGCCAGAGAGGATGTTGGGGCCTCCGCAGCTGCAGTGACAGATGTATGGGCCATTTGCAAGTGGAGCATCTCAGCCAAGGAGTCAGCACCCCAGGTTCATGGATGTCTGTTTTACTACCCTCCCCCACTAGAACACTCAGTCCTAGATTCCTCAGTATTGAAGGGCTTACAGACTCCATCTTAGACCATATTGGGATGTGAGCCATCAGTACAGACTTTAGTATTTCCATTTTATAAAGGTATAAACTGAGCTTAGTGGTAAGTCCTCAAACTGTATTTTAAATATAATCATGTTTCTTGTATTCTCTACCTTTATGCTATCAATTCTCAATCATATCTCCCACAAATTTAAACCCAGTTAGCAGCTGTGTTTAGAGTTTTAAGCACCCGACCTACCCAGGTTAAGTAGTTATTAATAAATACCCTAATATTCCAAGTGACTCCTGGTCAGAATTCAGAGGAAATGGGAAGCCTCCTTTAGCTTCACAACAATCAACTTGGAAAATGATTGTTTGAAATTTAGTGTGTGTGTGTGTGTGTGTGTGTACAGGAGACATGGCACAATGGAGGTCAGTGACAGCTTGCAAGAATCACTTCTTTCCTTTTACTGTGCGAGTCTTGAGGATTAGCCTCTGGTCATTGGGTTTGGTGGCAGATGCCATCATTGGCTGAGCCATCTAGCCAGCCAAAGAAAATAATTTTGATGATTATGACTCACCAGCACATTTTGAGTGCCATTAAAAAAAGAGAAACCATCTGGCAGTTGTAGCTCAGTTCTTTCTCCCATTGCTGGCTGGACCTACACACATGCAGACCTCCCACAAAAATGCTGGTGTCTGCACAATTTTACTATGAGCAGACATTTTCAGTCAAAGCAGAGAGAAATGAGGCTCTGCCTGTCTGTTGCAATAATATTAATATTATCTCTGTACAGATGTTGTTAGAAGTATGGAGCTAAATGCAGAGCCCTGGAGATGCCCAGAAGCACACACGGGGTAAGCACAGCCATTCACGGAAGCCCTAAGAAGCTGGGGAGTAGCAGGATGAACTTTTTACCATGACAAAGTAGACTGATGTTGCCTATTCCAGTATGAGATTGACAGCAGGGAATAATGACAACCAGGTTAGTGCAGGATGCATTCGTGATGCACAGAGGTGGGAGAGATGCGTGGACTTGGTCAGAATAAGTCAGGACAGTGTTAACTACCTTGGGGCTATGAAGGCTGAAAGCTTAAGACTGCAAAGTGATTCTGGCTATCAGTGAGGTAAGGGAGAGTAGATGTGAATAAACACTCCTTACGGGCGCTTTGACAAGAAAGACCGCTATATTAGTGGGTAGCATTTCAGAATGCAAAGGAGCACACTGGCCAGGGATGAACTTCATGACAGTGAGGTAGAGCTGGTCGAGTTCTGGGAATGATGGTGGAAAAATTGATGCTCAGGGCACACCTTCCCATTTCATGCATATGCTTTCAGCTGCTGTGAACACACACACACACACACACACACACACACACATACACAGAGGCATGCATCTGCACACAAATACATTCATGCATGCACTCACACACATATGGGCACACATGTGCATGTGTACCTGAACACATACAAACACACTCACATGCAGACATATACATATGCATGCACACATACATACATGTATAGACAATACATGCATGTGCTTCTGTACACATTCAGATTTACCTAGAGGCAACAATGCATATTCTGTTTGCCTCCCACCCTCCTGCTTCTACCAGAGAGAAATTTCCAGACATGAAAAAGATGAGTAAAGCAGAACCGAATTAACTTTTAGGAAAAGGAGATGAATTTTGGTCCATGAGTTCTGGAGTGAAGGTTTTTGTCCCTGAAGGATGCTTGGTAATTTATTACTAAGGATAAAATTGAGTACATCCAAACTGGGCTGAGATCTAAATCCCTGAATTCATTTGTTCGTAATTTCAGTGTGAGGGTGGCACTTGCACAGTTATTTGTCCCTTTTGTGGATCTTGCAGGGGACAATTTTCTTGCTGAAGATGACGACGCCAGCCTTTGTAACATCTGAGATCTGATATTATGTCCCCAAATTGGAACCTTACACTGAAGAGTAAAATGAAATGTTTAGCAATGAGTGATTTTAAGATATCAATGATGAACACTTAACAAAGATTTCACTTTGCAAATTCAGGTCTTGCCTTTTATTTTTCAGCAAATAAAAATTGCCAAAATTATAAAGTTGAGAGGTCAGAGCCCAGAGCTTCAGAGAGCTGAGGTTGAGTCTTTACTTTTACCTGAATCAATACTGGTTTAATATATTTAATAGTTGGATCATTATTTTATTCTTCACAAGAACAAAGTTAGCTACATGTAAGTAATTTATTCACATTTCCTGATTGCCAACTGTATGCCAGGAACTAAGTTTGAAGAACTCATGAGGAAGACAAACCTCTGCCTTGGTGGAGTTCACCCTAGAATACAAAGAGGGATGCGTAGATGAAAATACAAATGCTTTCGTTGAACATGACCAGAGTTTTATGGTAATGTAGACAGCCCCTGCTTTGGAGAGAAGAGTACCTTTGGTATGTGGAGGCCTAAGGTTGATGCAGGGAATCTTCCTCATTGCTTTTCTGCATTAATCATTGAGGCAGGGTCTCTCAATAAAACCCAGAGCTCACTGAAATAGGTAGTCTTCTTTTTTTAATTTTTATTTATTTTTTAAGAAAAGAAAACAAATTATCTTTTTTTCATTATGCATACCAATCCAAGTTTCCACTCCCTTCCATCCTCCCATTCCCTCCACTTACCCCTCACCCATCCCCCATCCACTCCTCAGAGAGTAAGGCATATTGCTTTGGGGAAGGTCTAAGGTCCTCCCTACTATCTAGGCTGAGCAAGGTATCCATCCAAAGAGAATAAGTTCTCAAAAACCCAGTAAAAGCAGTAGTGATAAATCCTGGTGCCGCTGCCAGTGGCTCCTTAGTCTGTTCTAGCCATGCAACTATTAACCATATTCAGAGGAACTAGTTTGGTGTAATGCTTGTTCCTTCCCAGTCTGGCTGGTGTTGGTGAGCTCCCATTAGCTCAGGTAAACTGCTTCAGTGGGTGTCCCCATCATGGTCTTGACCTCTTTGCTCATATTCTCACTCCTCCCTCTCTTCACCTGCACTTTGGGAGCTCAGCCCAGTGCTCCCATGCAGGTCTCTGCCTCTTCTTCCATCAGTTGCTGCATGATAGGTAGGTAGTCTTCTCAATCAGCACGTTTCAGGGATTCCCTAGCCTTCACTTTCTAAGGACGGAACTATAGAGGAGCTGCTATGCCCAGCTGGCATTAATAGGATGTGAGGATCCGGATTCACATCCTCTTACTTATCCAGGACCTGCTTTAACGCTTGAGTCATCTTCTCAGTCCTTGAGAACTGTGTGAAGCCTCTCCCGTTCTCTCCAGAAAAACTTAAGGTGCTCTCGCCTCTTAAGCCTTGCCCACTTTCTGGAACACTACACACGGATACATCTGTAGGATTTTGTTGTTTCTTTTTCAGTTTACTGACTGCTTTTCCTTTAGAGATCTTACACGTTATGGCTCTGTGAATCTCCTTATCTCCACTTTACAAGTCAGAAAGCTGAGCAAGTCAATCTCTGGCTGCTCAGGGATGGATTCTGATGCCAAACCTTGGCTGACTTTGGAAGTTAGTCTCTAATTAAGCAAAATCTAACAGCATTTGACTTGCTACTGATGGTGGAACCGTTTATACATGCTTCTACATATATAAACGAGGACTTAAATGTTCATCTAGCCGACATCCCAATTAGCTAGAGAGCACAAAGGACCATTCTGCTGGGCAAGCTCCAGGTTCCATCCTGCCCAGCATCGTGTTGACAACTCAGGCCTGGAGGGATTCACCAGGGAAGACAGAGCTTTTCTCACTGACATTAACCTTAAAGGTTAGGTGTACTCTGAGTAGCCATTTATGGCTCTGACATTCATAAATTTGGTCAAAACCTTTATGAATCCATTTATATTCCTCGCCTGTACCTCTTTTGCGGTAATGAGCTCCATCCGTTTACTCTTTTCTGTGTGAAGTCAGGTTTCTCTTTATTTGTCCTTAGCCCATGTTATGCAGGTTTTGAGGGGTCTGACTCTTTCTGGGCTGAACTGAACATCATCACAATGACCGTTACTGTGCTCACATTATACATAAGTGCCAAACAATACATGAAATCGCATGTCACATTTCTGTTGTGGAGAGACCGATATTGTATTTAAAGATCTGCATTCTGTCTCCTCCACAGTTTTCTCAGTACACTTTCTGGTGATGTCAAATAGGTTCCAAGGTTCCTTGAGAATAATCTCATTTTGGTCTTCATGATTCACATTTTCATTTGAAGGCACCGCTGATCTGGCCATGTGGTAGCGGGAGGTAAATTTTATTTCTAATCTACCACATTTGAAGAGAAATCATAAACTATGTTGTGCTATGTGTATTTTATAGTTGATTATAACCAAGGAAAGTATAGAACATCCTAGAACAACAGAAACACAAACCTAGCTGTCAAGAATTCAGTATCCTAAAACCAAGCCTGGACCGAAATATTCACATTCATGAGATTAGAGGTTAGCTACATATTTTCCTAGATCTCATAACACTGCGGAATCCGGAGTTCTCATTTCCTTGGCGTCTGACTTGAGCAGAGTCAGCTCAGTCTTCACGAGGTCTAACAGCCTTCCTTCTATTCCAGTGCGATTCATTTCCTTCCGTAGTTGTTGGAAGCTATCGGGTGGCTCACATGCGACCTTCCTTCCATCCAGCAAAAGATCTCAGCAAGTGAAGAAAATAGCAAATGTCCTCCTCCCATGCCCTCACAGAAGTATTAGAGTTATTCCCATGGTAGGTTTGTTTTAGGCTGGCCTGAACTGGGCAGTCAGGTGAGAAAGTATCCCCTGGATCCCTTCTCCTTCAACAGGCAAGTTGGCAGTAATCCTGGTTACTGTTTTGTCCAGTACACACAAGCTGGAGTTATTTGAGAACGGGGAACCTTAGTTAAGAAAATGACCCTACTCTTTTGTTTCTATAGAATTAAAATAAAAATGTAGCAACCTAAGGCTGCTTTGGAAAAGAATGAATGACTTCATCTCAGAAGTGGCAGACTGTGTGCTTATGTGTGGAGAAAGCTTAAGACTCGCGTCAGAATGTGCACTTCACTGTAAGCACTCAGTGCTGTCTGCTCTGCATGGGGACTTTGGGGGAGGGTTGAAGGAGAGGGGAGAGGCAAGGAGGGGAGCAGAGAAAAATAAAATCAATAATAAAAAAACCTGTCTGCTCTGAGAAAGTGAGGCCTAGTGTCTCCATGCGACCTGACTTCTGGTCCATCGTGCACGATAGCAGAGTTGTTGGCTCACATTCTTGCTGAACTACAGGTGAATTTGGCACGAATCTTCCTGTATCCTGATGGATTTCTGGTGAGAACACTCTGGGCAGAGGGAGTGGGCATCAAAAGCACATCTATTTTTAAAGTTACTTCACTATAGTTTGGAGACAACTGTTTTCATTTGAAGGCTTGAGTGGTAAATGATGGAAGCATTGTCTCCTTGGGTTTCAGATAAAGTGGCTTAGCTTCCTCACAGAGCAGCTTCCTGCTGGTGGAAGGAACCTTCATACATGGCCACTGCCGATCCAGGCGACATATCCACAAACACGCAGAGACAGGGAAGGGGATCACAGTGTCAACCTAGGAAAGCAAACACTTTCCCAAAATTCCTCAGGAAATTTCTTTTTTTTTTTTTTTTGCTCTTTTTGATTTTTATTTTTTTGTTCTTTTTTATTTTTATTTTTTCTTTTTTTATTAATTTATTTATTTGTTTATAAAAATTTCCACTTCCTCCCCTCCTCCCCATACCCTCCCATTTCCCCCACTCCCTCTCCTCCTCCCCTTCAACTCCCTCCCCTCCTTTCTCTCCAGTCCTAAGAGCAGTCAGGGTTTCCTGCCCTGTGGGAAGTTCAAGTTCCTCCCCTCTCCCTCCAGGTCTAGGAAGGTGAGCATCCAAACAGACTAGGATCCCAGAAAGCTAGTACATGCAGACAAAACAAGACCCAGTGCCATTGACAATGGCTTCTCAGTCAGCCCCCATGTCAGTCACATTTAGAGACTCCGGTTTGATCACATGCTCGTTCAGCCCCAGTCCAGCTGGCCTTGGTGAGCTCTCATTCGATTAGTCCCCTTGTATCCGAGGGTGAACACCCCACACAGTTCTGATTTCCTTTTTCATGATCTCTCTCCTTCTGCTCCTCATTTGGACCTTGGGGGCTCAGTCCAGTGCTCTGATGTGGGTCTCCGTCTCTATCTCCATCTATCGTCAGATGAAGGTTCACTCTAGTCCTGCCTTTCTTGCTCACGTTCTCCCTCCTTCTGCTTCTCATTTGGACCTAGGGAGTTAAGTCCAGTGTTCCAATGTGTGTCTCTGTCTCTATCTCCATCCATCGCCCGATGAAGGATCTATGGTGATATACAAAATATTCATCAGTATGTCCTCAGGAAACTTCTGCAGGAACAGGCGACGTTCCCAGGTTAGGAGGCACTAACAAGTGATTCTTCAATTGTTCCTGCGTTTGAGGAAGAGCGGGAGGAAGGGAATGGAAATGGCTAGCCAACCTACAACGTCTGCCACACATTTTAAAACACAAGAACCTCAAACTGGTGCTTCAGATTTTCACAGAGCCTAGTGCAGACAGAAGGGGTAAGGGCAAACATGGTCGGATGAGAATGTTCTCTGCTGCAGTGGTCAGCTGTGAAGGGGAGCTTCCTGCTCTAGTAATTGTTCGAAAGGGAAAGAACTTCTTCCTTCTATTTGTCAGGTTATTATTGTTGTTGTTGTTGATGATGATGATGATGTTTGTTTATTTGTTGATACCATTCTTACTGTTCCTTGGTTTGCTCTGTAAAATGAAGCATCCAAGAGTTGCCTCAGGCAGGTTAGAGAAAAGCCCACTAAGTCTGCCTGATGCTGGGAATCTGAGCCTTCCCTCTAGCCCAGGGCTGGGCTCGCCCTGCTTTACTAGAAGAGCTCCATTTCCCATCTCAGTATTTATAACCCTCTCTTAGAGAGGAAAATGGTTGTACTAGGAAGTCATATTAAGGCGGAGAATTCGGGCAGACCCAGTAGTAAAAAGATAAAGACATAATTTAAGCTCATTTGGTTGAAAAGATAAATGTAGATAAAAGCCCGCGAACAGGAGCCAAATGCCTTGGCGCAGGAAGCCCACAGACAATGGACTTGGCCATCAGCCACACAGCCATCACCGTCTGCTGAGGGTCTGTTCCTGAGCAGAGTGAGTGTCCACAGAGGGACTCTACCCTCCTGCTGGGAGTCCTGAGGAGCCACTGGACAAGGCTGGGCCGGAAGGGCCGCAAGGCAGAGACAAAGAAGCCTGAAAGAAGGAGCCTGCCGTTTTCAGAGACTGCTCAGTCAAAAATCGCCTCAGGCCTTAGTGCTCTGAGAGGGTTTTCAAATAAGACCTTTGCTTTCAGATAGAAAGTCTAGAATCCTTTGTCCTTCTTAGTAAGGAAACATAGGTTTTAACGAGTGCATGCCTTTATTCAGAAATACCTGCAAGACGTTGTTGACATTGCTTGGGTCCTTGGTTGCTGCTGGAACGGCCTCATGCTTGCTGTGGCTCAGATCAATCATCACCCATTGGCTGAATATGCTACGGAGCAGGGTCTGTGCTGGGTCCTGTCAATAAGATGAAAAAAACAAGGTGCCTCTCTGGAGTACCTTTTATTTTGACTAGAGGCACTTTCTTCCTCTTGGGACATTGGAAATGTCTGGTGAGGTTTTAGTTGCCACAATTTTGAGGGGGTCACTTAAATCTAGTTGGCAGAGACCAGAGATACTCCTAAGGACAGTACCAGCAGGTAAGTAATTGGCCCACAGTCTAAGCAGTGTTGACATTGAGAGAACCTCTGCTATGAAGATACACTGTGGAAAAACCATATGTTTATATACTGTGTGTGTGTGTGTGTGTGTGTGTGTGTGTGTGTGTGTACGCAAAAATAGGTTGGGCAGAGAGCTTAACTGATAAAATGCTTGCTGTACAAATACGATGATATGAGTTTAATTCCCAGTACCGACACTGAAAAGCCAGGTCTGGTGGTACAAGCTTATATCTTGGTATTTGGACTTTTAGGCTAGCCAGTCGGCAAACTCCATGAGTCCCAGGCAAATGAGAGACTCTGTTCAAGAAACCAAGTGGACAGAGCTCAAAGAAGAACTCCTGAGGCTGACTCCAGGCCTGTACATACAATCAAATGCATACGCATGTGCCTTCCTACACATGTGTGCCTGGACACACAGGAATATGCACACACTTGGGGGGAGGGAGAGACAGGGAGGAGGAGGGGAACATGGCTATAGACTGTGCAGAAGGTAGAGTATCCTCAGCACAGGGTGGTGCGGGAGAATTGTCTGCATTCTGTCAATCATGTTTTAAATAAATGCTGATTGGCCAGGCAGGAAGTATAGACGGGGAAAACCAGACAGGAAGTAGAAATGATGCAATGAAAACAGGAGAATCCTGGGAAGGAGGAAGCTGATTCCTCCCACTCCTGCCCAGATCACCAAAGCAGCACGATGTGATCTGCCCCACTGAAAAAGGTATTGAGCCATATGGCAAACATAGATAAGAACAATGGGTTAATATAAGCTACAAGAGCTAATAAGTAGCCTGACCTAATGGGCCAATCAGATTTATAACTTATGGAGACCTCTGTGTAATTGATTTTCTTTGGGGCTTGCCAACTTGTTGGGGTACCGGGCAGGACAGAAACCCCAACTAGCCAGCCCCTCATGTTACAACAGGGCTCATCACTTCTATCTGAAGGAGCCTGCGAAGAGTGTGAAGACACCAGGTGTTCGGTGGGGTCTGAAGACTGATTATGAACTACACAGATGCTTGGAGTGGATTCCACATACGCAAAAGAAGAGGAGCCTGTGGCAGAGCCCAAGGAAAAGTTCAGGAATGTTTCAGGTGAGATGGAGGAAGGGTTGAGTCATGATGCTGGAGGTTTAAGCTAGATCATGTTATTCGTGACCCATGGATCAGCCTAAGGAGTTTGAACTCATCTCTACAATTGATTTGATGGAGAGCAACTGACAGGGATGTTACAAATTATTACACAGAAATATCATCAAGGCAGATACACACACACCTGTGACACAATGGGACTCTGTCTCCTCTTTGAGGAGCTCTCCACTTCACTACATAGCAACGGAGTGACCCACTGTTTAATTGAATTCCAACACAGCAGTGTTAGATGTCAGTTCAAGGACCAGTTCCACAGGAAGTCAGAAGACAACAACAGACAGCAGGCTCCCAAATTATCATAATGCCTGTCCAGTTTGGTTGCAAACTGCTGATCCCATGACCCTCTTGAGTGTAACAGTTTGCTATAGCTGTCATGGTGCTCATGGGGCACAGGAAATCAGCCGCTTGCTGGGCACTAGCTTATTATGGAGGATGTCTCGCAGGAAGTGGTGGAGCGACCAGATGTGTAAATACGTGGGGCAAGATTAGGAAGAGTTTCGTTGTGGCATTTTGAGGGTGGTCCACACTCTTAGCATGTGGATACCTTATCCTTAACTGGAAGCCCTCTGAACTCTGTTTGTTGTTCTGTGGAGGCTTCAGTCCATAGTAAACGTGCTAACACCATTGGCCTTCAGTGCCGCTGGATCTGCACCCTCTACCTGTACCCTAGAGAGGGAAGGGTGGCGACGGAATCACACTTACAACTTTATCACCATCAAGCCTTATCCTAAGTTTGTGTGCAAGCCTTGCTGATGACTGAACAGCACACAAAGAGACATAGGACTTGGTTTTAGGATCTGTGTGTCCGCAAATGGGAACAGAGAAAAATACTTCTTTTTGTTTCACAGATCAATCGCTATTACTGTCTGAAATAAACACAAGGGGTTGTGGAGAGTTCTATTGGCTCCCTTTGTTTCTGTGCCCTCCGCCTCATTCTCACACATGCAAGGACAAGAATTGAAGTGCAAGCGTTCTTTGGCAGCAGGGGGACACTGGTAAGTGTCAAATTTTCCACAAATATTTTGGATGTTGAAGTAAAGGCATTGAGGGATAGCTGGTAGAAGATATCCCATGGTTTGGCCTCATGAGCAAATGCTCCACTGATGACCTACATATCCTCCCGAGCCCACAACAATGTCTTTGGTGACAGTTCCCACAATCTTTTAAAATTTTGTAGCCCATCTCTTCTGAAGGAAAACGGTTTGGTGAGCAGTTATGAGGATCCAGCAACTTAAGGAAGTAAAACCCCAAACATTCCAATCATCAGGAGAATGTGAGCTTGGAATACGTAGAGATCTACGTAGAACCAAAGCAAGGGAGAAAACTTTGGTAGCAAGGAGACCGTGAGGAAGAGGACTGAGTCTAAGAGGGTGACTGCACAGTGCAGAGCTGGGGTTCAAGTGCTCAGGGGCAGGGGAGCCAGATGAGACAAGGTCCTTTGATTCATAACAAAGTAAAACAGGGTGCCTGCTTGTCAGTGGGTTTGAAGAGAGCCATGATGGGTCTGGAGGGTTGGAGACTCAATCATGGCCGCTGAGTATGATAGGATGGCGGGGGTAACAGGGTGGAGGATGTTAGAAGATATCTGATTGATCGATTTCCTGAGTAAAAACACATCACACCACCCTGCGAGAGTCTCCTTAGAAATGACAGCGTAGAGGACGGAATCTGATACTGTGAAGCAGGAGCCACGTTGTTAAGAGAGTGCCGAGAGTGAAGAGAACGAGTTTCATGAGGAAAACAAAGACGTGGAAGAGTTTCTTAAACACAGAATGGGGTTCAGGAGACATTGTTAAAGCATTTGCTTTCTTTTTTATTAGGATGAGAGCAGCAGGAGGAATGTGTCTCTTTGCAATAGTTGACATACTTCACCAACAGTAAGGCTTAAACAACACAGTCAAGTTTTCTGAGAAGCGGGTGCTCTCAGAACTGGTCACTTCTGATATGTGAATATCATGCCCAGTCTCTGGGAATCCTTGGCTTTCTCCAGCCTGTAGAAGCAACATTCTGATCCTCCCCTCCACATAAATTTTATGAAGATGCTGCTAATATTGAATTGAAATCATCCCACACAGATATAAATTCATTGTAATCAATTATCTTGGCATCGGTGCTGTTTACAAATGAGGTAGCATGCTGAAGTACTGTGAGTTAGAACCGTGACACCTTTTCTAAGGGGAATAACCCAGTCTATAGCATGGAGCATGGATATGCTGTAACAGACCAAAAAAGAGGAAAGCAAGTTCAAGAGGCTATCTTTTGCCAGTAAAGATGATGTTGGCTACTGCTCACTGCAGAATGGCCGTAGGATGAGACTCGGGAATGTTCTGGTCAATACAAGGCTGGCCCAGGGCAGGTACAGTATGAGTGGATGAAGGGAGCCTGTGCTGGGCACAAAGCTTACTTCTCACCATCCAACTCCAAGGCCCTGCTTTGTAGAATCAGTGTGCAGGATGCGTTTTTTTGGCTGAATCGCACTAGGTTGCTCTTAGAACACAGGAGAGGAAGCTAGAAATACACTCTCAGCACTTCTAAATTTTAATTTCTTAGAGACTAGAATGGAGCAACCCTTATGAAAGACTTTTGTGAGGCTGCCCTCCCTAAGATAACCCCCTGAGGACAGCATCCAGATCTTCTTTACACGTGTCTAGTACCTACCCTTCGATGCAAAGTACTCAGCGAATATACAAACAGCTACTTCCTAGTGGTAATAACGTGCTTACTTGGTTAACAGTGAATTCATAGGGAAATGATGGAATTGGGAGGAGTGGATGCTTAGAGACTTAGAAACTAGCACAAGATGTTTGAGGATATGGAAGACATTCTGAAGAGGCAGTGTGTCTGTAATTCATGACTTTTCTCCCTAGGTAAATACTGAGAATCTGTCTGTTGTGTGTTCACACACATGCATGCACATGAACACACACTTGTGCGCACGCGCGCACACACACACACACACACACACACACACACACACACACAGTGTCACTATGTAACCCTGGCTGGCCTGGAAGTCTTCATGCAAAACAGGCTAGCTCAACTTCACAGAAGCCCACCAACTTCAGCTTCCCGAGTGTGTGCCTAACAGTGTTCCTAACACCTGGACACTTGAGCAGTTCAAAGCAGTTGTGAGATATTAAATTTGGGTAAGGGATTGTTTTCTCTTCCTTCTCATATTTGTCCATTTTATAACAGCTTTGTTTAGTTGTGCAAAAAAAGGGGGGGGCTTTGCATCATTGTTCTCTGTAACAAGCAGGAGGTAATGAGTTACTTAAATGACCTGTAGGGCCCAGGGTAGAAGGAAAGAAATTGAAGATGCCAACAATGGTACATTAAAGCAAGCCCAGGGACCTTCCTTACAAGGAACCTAACAGGCTCACCAGTATAGCCAGTCCTGTCTGTTAGCCACACAGCTACTGGATGATAGCAAAAAAGGTTGCTAGGAGCAATTCTTGAAGTGTTGGAGGCAACAGGCAACATTGGGCTTTTGGTTAGGGTCTTGTTAGCTACAAAGAGAAATAATGCCACCTTGATTTACTGAGTGATTCCTTCTGTTCTAATTCCTCACAGGTTCATGGGGCTAAATCCCTTGTTTGTAATCTTGCAAAGCATGACCTCACCTTCTCTTGCACACACATCTTTAGCTGTAGGCCCTCTAACTCCTGAGCATCTGACCATTTGAGGCTTGCCTCTCACCTTTCACCTGCTCATGCCATAGGGTCTCCCCCTTCCCTCTCTGGGCTCTGCAGCCATGCATTGGCTCTAACTCATGTGGTCATGCCTACATGACCTGGACCTACACTTGGGAGGAGCCACACTGTGTTCAGTACCTGATGTGACTGTTGATCTTGTGGATTTGCTGTGCTGTGCCTAGTCTCCTGTATTCCCTATTCAACCTTCTTGATTTGAGGGTTGTGCTTTTCAGGGGTACTCATTCATAAAGTGACACCGAAGGTCACACCAGGAGTCTCCTCTAAAGAAAATGTGATGAAATTTGACAGTTGTCTCAAGATTTATTACTTATGGATGTATTTCCCAGCTTGCCTGGAGTTTAGCCATGTTGCCAATGGTTATAATACCTCACTGTTAATGTAGGTGGGGAGTAACATGAAGTGGTTGATAGTGCTGCGTGTGAATGAGCTTTCGGGGGCTGGCTGCTCATCTTCAGGCATATTTGTTGCAAATGGCAGGATAGAAAAATTTCATGATTCCTTAGAATTTGATGACCACACATATATATGATCTTCAAGACTCTGTGTGTGTGTGTGTGTGTGTGTGTGTGTGTGTGTGTGTAGCTATATGGTTAATGCATAATGGTCAAAAGTGAGACCCTATATCCAAGGGGTCTGGGATGATTGGAAGTGCCACCCCAGTCCCTGGTATCCATCCTAAGACCACTTCCCCTGGGGGTTGCCTTGGTCTAGACTCCACTTCCAGGAAGCCCGCCAAGCTCTGACCCCTCCCCAGGGAAAGTCAGTACCACTCCCACAGGTTATTTAGGCTCACACCTAAATAAAAGGTGTGATGAACATGTGGATGTGTGGGTTTTGCATGATCTCTCCCTCTCTGTCTCACTCCCAACCCTCCCCCCATGCTCCCAACCACTCGGAAGCACTGCTTTTATTAAATGTGGGCATCTTTGATTTGGTCTAATCTGGTCTGATTGGAGTTATTTTGTGTTGGTGGAGAGAATCGTCTTAAGATTTTTCCTAACATATAATATAGGCAATGTTTAGTCACATGTCAGTCTTCACTCTGGTAGATACAAAATTAAACAAAAATGATGATGAATGAATGAATGAATCAAAGGTTTTTATCTCCTAAGACATCATGATGATTAATGTTTATTGCCAACTTGACAGGATTGGATATGGAATAACCAAAGAGCCAGCCCCCTGGGCACATCGGTGAGGGATTAGATGTTAGTTAGGTGGAAACCTCACCTAAATATTGGTGGGACCATTCCCTGGCCTAGAGTTCTAGACTGGATAAAAAGGAGAAAGGTGTCTGACGGGATAGGTCCTCTCTCTTCTTCCTGACTGTGGCACAGCGTGACGAGCAGTGAGCTGTGGCAAGCTCCCGCAGCTGCGATTCCCACCTTGACCCACCGTGAGCCACAGTCAGCCTTCCTTCTTTTCTTGGCTTTGTCAGTGTTTGTCAGTATATTTTACCCCAACCACAACACAGTCTCTCTCTCTCCCTTCGGTTTATTGTGGCTTTCCCTTCCGACAGAAGCCAATCAAGAGCCTTGTTGGTGTGACTGCCCACCTGTAAGACCAACCTGGATGTCACTGTCTGAAATGAGGACTTCCCATTTTTATCTTGCTTTGATTTAGAGTTCTGGGTAGTGACTGTAGCATCCTAGGACATTGGTCTTTCTGGAATAAACACAATTCCCATGGCTTATAAATAAAGAACACTAAATTCTACGGGTATCGTGGTTCCTAGTGGAATTCAGTATTCTATGCAATCATACTCCTCGTCATTGATGATTGTAAATTATCTGACTATGTTAAAGACACTTCATAGTTTACCTTCTTTCCCTGTATTATTTGGCCCAGTTAAGTATCCAAAGACCCATCTAATTATGCTTACATTATTTTAAAATTTTAAGTGGAGACTTTAGCTTTCTTCACAGAAACCACTATTGCAGTTCATTCACTTTCATTTGAACAAGTTATTTCTTTCATGCTGTCTGTAACCCTCTGATCCCAGCTGTCACTTGTGACAGATTAGGGCTTCCAGACCCAGAAATGCAGATCCCATAGGTCACATGTCCCAGAAATGGAAAATGTGATTTCTCCCAGGGGCCAGATACACAGACCCTTATATCATCTCACACTCTGAGAGAGCCCCTCCCCCTGCAGACTGGCCGCATATCCTTTGGTTGTGCGGCATCTTTATCTCTGACCTCCAAACAGGGTCACTGATGTAGCGGTCGACAGAAAGCTTTCAGGAGTGAAGGAGGGCTTAGCGCAATCAGGCAGCGTGCTCGGTCCAGCATGGTGATCGCTTCTGACACGGCTGATAGAGGGACTTCTTCTGCAGCCATTGATTTCCGTGTCAGGCGGATGAAGAGGAGCATATTGATGAGCTTTTGTCATTACTTTGCCAAAGGTGTCTTGTCAGATAGAAGACCAATAGAGGAAGTCAACTTAAGCCAGCCCATCAAATCAATTTTCCTGGTGCTGAAGGGAACAGATGAACTGTGATATTTAAACTAATCGATGCCTATATAGGTACTCTTAAACTCTTAAAACAAATTGTTTTGATTTGCCAAAAAAAAATCATGCTATAAAAACGATAAAGGAAAACAGGCAGCTGAAGTTGCAACAAAAGATTGCATTTCAGGGAGATGCTATATTTACAAGCAAGAGCACTCAATGTTCCCTTATTCTGAAACACACTGAGCCCCCTACAGTAGCTTAGGACTGGAAAACAAACCCAACATGTGTTCTGCATTCCAAAATCCGTAAGAGCTTCATGTCGGGGTGCTAGTTACCTCCTAAGGGACCTCAACAGAGGTGCCGTCTGAACAAAATCACATATGGAGAGCCTCCTTTGTCTTTCTGAGAACTAACCCTTTGTGTAAAGAAGACAGGAAAGGAGGCCAGGAGACAGCTTAGGAAAATGGAAATTTCTACACTCATAACTCACGATGGAAGACTTCTCAAATGGTTCATGTCATTTTTTTTCTCGTAAATATCTTGAGTAATTGCAGGCTTCTCTTTAGTAGGACAACAGGAAGATTTCCCGTTCATTTTTCACAAAGGTGGATCCTACAGTCACTTCAGAAGTAGTGTAACACCATCTTACCAGGAGGGAGGCAGGACCAGGGTGTCCCAGCTCAGGTCAACATTTCGGCAGGCCTGACACAGAGGCCTGACCATAATGTCACAGTTGACCTGAGTTGCTAGAGAGAGCCGCACAGTATACAAATTAAGTTGATTTTGTTGATATCAATAGCACATATGGACATTTGTTCAGCAGCCATAGCTATGATACAACATGATGTACTATTTGTGAATCATAAAGAGCATTTGAAATTAAATAACACCTTAGACCCCAAGACAGTGCAGCTTCTTAGAATCTGTGTCGTCTTACAATTAATTTACTACGTCATTGGAATTGATTAATCTGAAAATCTCTGATATGAATATTCTGATAAAAACAATTCCGCCCCACCCACTCCCCTTCCTCAAGCTGGCATTGGTTCCTACCCCACCCTCTCCTTTCTTCTGCAGGACCGGATGTGGTTTCAGAACACCGGCACAAGGGACAGTGGCTTGTGTTGGGTCACCTTCTATTCCAGCACTTACCTCAGTGTCATGATGGCTGCAGCAAATTATCGCAGTTTAGTATGTCCTTGATCTCGTCAGCAAATTTCTCCAACAAAGTAGCCGGTGGCTGAGGTGGAGCTAGCAGCCACAGAAAGAATGCCCAGGTTAAGGCTGGTTGGGTGTAAGGAAGTTACACTTTGAAACTGACCTTCACTATGGAAAATCTTGTCTTCTACCATGACTCTATTGCACATTCATTATTTGAGAAAAAGTATATATGTCCCCCTGTAGTTGTCTCTTATACTAAAAAGTTTTCTAAAATAAAATTTTCAGGAGGAGCCTGTGTTGATAGAAGCTTCTGTCCCACCTGGTCCCACAGCTATTCGGTCCCCAAGAAACACACAGAGGTCTACATTAATTATAAACTGGTTGGTCTATTAGCTCAGGCTTCTTATTAACTAATTCTTACATCTTAAATTAGCCCATTATTCTTACATCTTAAATTAGCCCATTATTCTTGTCTATGTTAGCCACGTGGCTTGGTACCTTTTATCAGTGAGGCATTCTCATCTTGCTTCCTCTGTGTCTGGCTTTTGCTGTGATGACTACAGACTGAGCCTTTCCTCTTCTCAGAATTCTCCTGTTCTCATCACCCCTACCTCTACTTCCTGATTGGTCGCCCCGCCTATACTTCCTGCCAGGCTACTGGCCAATCAGCATTTTATTAAAATAATACAAGTGACAGGATACAAGACCAATGTCCCACAGCAAGCCTGAAATTTTTTTTTATAAATAATATACACTTGTCCTTTAAATGTATTTTCTCCAATTGGTCACAATGAAATAGTAGTTAATCAAAGTATATCAAAGCAAAGAAATGCCAGCCTGGCAAGACCCAAGAAATAGCTGTAGAGGTAGTCTGCAGAGCAAGCTGGAGCTTGACACTATCATTGGCCACCAGTGCTAGGGTAGAAGGAAATGCTTGGCTTGTTGTACATCCATCCTGTCATCAGGATGGCAACGCACACCTGACTTAGCTCAGAGCGGTCATAAGGTAATATGGAGAGTAGTAACCGTCCACTTGACAGAGCTGAGAGTGAGTAAGAGGTATCCCCACCATGTCTTCAGCATCCAGGAGGAACTGGGTGTACCCTGGCATGACCCCCTCTCAGCAACCGCCTGTTCAGCACAATGCAGTAGCAGCTGTTGGAAATGGAAATGGCACTCAGAAGGAGCACATGAAACTATAAGCACACTGCAGCAGTGCTAGCAAGATTCTTTCAGCAGAAGACAATGCTCTTATCAGGGCACTTACATGGCGAAACATTCTCCTGAAAAGTAGGCAATATGAGAATTACGAAGAACACTGTAAAAATAAGCTAGTGAGTATTTAATAAAGCATGGACATCTGTTCTGCCACTTCCACTTGAAGACAGACAGAATGAACGAAGCACACAATCTGGGCACATCAGAGTTAATAGAGAAGTAAGCTTGGAAGCACAGATCCCAACATAATAGATGTATGAGAGCTGTCTGAAAGAAAAGGCTACACTTCAGCAAGAGATGTAAAGACAAAGGAAATAACAGTAAATATGGTTCAATAAACATGAGTAGGCAAAAAACAAGGTATGCAGATGCCTCATCATTTTTTTGAAAATAAAACAGAACAAAAAGTATCTCAGCATAAGTGTTGTAATGGATGGTGTGATGTGGGAAGGGGAGATGGTGAAATGTGAACATCAAATGTACCAGGCTTCTAACTACTTCTAGTGTATGAATCATAAAAACATTGTGTGAACACAACTTTCAAACCAAGAGAGGAAAAAAAGTAATTTAACCTTTCCAGTCACACACACACACACACACACACACGCATGCATGCACACACCACACCACACACACATATCACAAGAAAATGTATAGTTTAATAAAATAATTAAATAAATAAAAATCATATGTGTAAATCATATGTGTATGTGCATGTGAGTGCAGGTGTCCACAGAAGCCAGAAGGGGCAGTGGAAATCCTGGAAGTCGAGATACAAGCAGCTGTGAGCCAATTGATGTGTGTACTGGGAACCAAGCTGTGGCTGTCGGAAATAGTAGTGTGTACTCTTGAGCACTGAGCCATCTTAATAGCCTCTTCTACCCTTCTGGAATAAAATCTCCAGTGTATGAAAAAAAAGAAAGTTGAAGGAGTGTAAGACACATGTCATTGACTTGTCTGTAGTCACAATAGCAAGATCTTATCAGAAAAAAAAAAAGTAAAAGAGAGGAAGGAAGGGAGGGAGGGAGAGAGGGAGGGAGGAAGGAGGGAAGGAAGGATAGGCAAAGATAGATGAGTAATTAAGAAAGAAGCAGCAAAGCTTCTGATAGTGATCCATGCTCCCTGTGTAATATCATGGCCAAATGAGAATTAAAGGCATCTGAGGCAAACAGTAACAACATAATTAGAAACACAGAGATGCTTTTATCACACAAGTTGAAATCAAGGTTGAAAATCACTAAAATAAAAAAATGAATAATAGCAGCTGATCCGACAATGTTATTATGAAGACAGCAGCAATGGTTTAAGAATCCATAGAACAAATATGTGTGGAACTGTAGCAAATGCTATAGTAATAACAGGGATACAACCACCTCAGATTCAACAGATTGAAACGGTTCTAAAAAGGCAGGGCTATATATTTGAATAACACAATAAACAGGTTTGTCCCAATAGAACACATGTAAAAAATTTTTTCTCCAAAGCATGATTGGGATTTTACCAAATTCACAGACAAGGCCCATAAAATTTAAATCCTAGGCCACAAAATATATTTTGATAACTGTAGAAGTTTATTTTCTCACCCTAACTACTTCACTGCCTACGTCCTTCAGAGATAGCCAGATAGGTACGTAGATAGAATGATGATAGATAGGTAGATATTAAAAACCTTTCAAATAGCTTAAATCATAAAGAAATAAAGTCCAGTTTAAATTTAATTTTAGATTTCATTAGAAATAAATGATAGTTAAGATGCATATACAAAACTTACAATAGCTGTTTGACTTTCTTTTGCTTTTGTTTTGTTTTGTTTGAGGCCTCACTGGCCTGGACCCTACTGTGCAGTCTGACTGTTGCTACAGGAGCTCTCTGATCAGGCTGGCAGGCTGGTGCATGGTTCACTGAGAGGGCTGGCAGGCAGGCTGGTGCATGGTTCACCGAGAGGGCTGGCAGGCAGGCTGGTGCAGGAGTTCATTGAGCAGGTTGGTTGGTGCACACGCTCACTGAGCAGGCTGGTTGGTGCACACGCTCACTGAGCAGGTTGGTTGGTGCACACGCTCACTGAGCAGGTTGGTTGGTGCACACGCTCACTGAGCAGGCTGGTCCGTGATGAGCTCCAGAAGCCCACCTGTCTCTGCCTCGCCACTGCTGCGAATGCCAGTGTACAGCACTGAGCCCTTGTCTTTTCTTATGTGGATTTAGGGGATCACACCAAGATCCTGAAGCCCACACAGCAATCTGTTTAGGGACGGTGCTATCTCCCCTGTCCTCAGCCTGAAAGAAATTCTTTCAAGCAAAGAGCTTTTGACAAAATCCACTTGCACCCCAGATTTCCCTGCTTTTCTCTACAACTTTCTTTCCATTTAACTTTTTCATTCCATTACTGATACAGTCATGGAAAAGGATATGGAGTATATCTTGTTGCCAAAATACCATGACCAGCACAGTGCTTCCCTGCTCTCTCTACTCCCTTGGACCTGTGTTAACTGTGAGGCTGAGGTCCCGTGTCACCCTCATGGCTCTGGGCAGATTAAGTTAACCCACTTCCCTGAACCCTTTTTTCACTTGGCTTGGGTGGGAAAGAGTTGAACACAGTCATTATGGAATGGTTCGCAGGAAAGAGTATTTGCCACATGAGAGGGGATTTTAAGTAAGCGGGAAAGATGATGGCTTCTCATGGGTCATTCAATAAAATATCTGGAAACCATTTGTGCTGTGTCACATGCTCAGAAAACTCCCTTCTACAGCCCCAGTCTCTCCTGTGCACTGTTCACATTTCCTGCTTAAGCTTATTCCCATTGTCTGTCTTGTTGATATTGATATCACTGATTGGACACTCTTTATTATATTAATCATACTCTTTTTTAAAAAAAGTTTTAAATACATATTTATATGTATGAATATTCTCTGCCTGTACGTATGTCAGTTCAACACATGCATGCCCACAAAGACAGAAGAGAGTGTCATATCCCCTGGGACCCCTGTGGTGGTTGTGAGTCGCCGTGTGGGTACTGGGAACTGAACCTGGGTGCTCTTCAAGAGCAGCAAGTGAACTTCACTCCGGAGCCTTCACCCCAACTCATTCACACCCTTTAAAGACAAACTCTCAATTGTGTGTCAGTTTTCCGTGTGTGAGCGTGATGTATTCAGCTTTGTCCTGAGTAGGGGCGTGCGTTTGATGAATTAAAGTGAACACTGCAGTAAGAGTCTTCGATTCACAACTTGTAAATAATGGCATTGCCCATAGCTGCACGGGCAGGAGAGGGTGGGCAGGAATTGCCAGAGATGTAAAGAATGCGCTCCTAGCCAAGGGTCAGGAGAGCTCCATCAGATCATTTTTTCCTCTTCAAATTGTTCACATCTTTTGTCACTCATAATTCAAAAACAGTTAAATAGAAAAACTTCAAGTGTTATATATATTAGTCCTTGATGGGAACTAACATGTAAGAATCATTTCACCTATGTGGAATTTAAAGTTTTTTATTTATTGGGGGTTAATTTTTCTTTTCACGGGAGAGCGCCATGAAGTCCCTACAGGCAATACCATTTCTACCAGGCATCAGGCAATAGTTTCACTAATCTAAGGTTTCATTTTTGAAAAATAAAACTATCAGTCCATTTTTTTTGAAAGAACCAAGTTGTCACCATAAAAGGTTTCCTGTGGGTCTAAGTTTGTCATATTTACTCCC